TTTTTTTTTTTAAATTTTTTTCTTAATTAAAAATCCAAACAGGATGGGTGGAAAGAATTTGGAAAGGGGCTGGAGCCACCATGTTATTAACTATTATTTTAATTTTCAATACAAAAATGAATGAGCTGGAATAGACCCGATTGTCATACTCTGTGGAACCTTGCAAAAAAAGTGAAGAAATGTTGAAAGGTTTAGTTGGAGCAGCTGGCTGATGTCAAAGCTGCCAGGATGCTAATTAACTGCAGGCTGTGTCCCTTATTTCTGTATTTAAAAGGAAAAAAAAAAAAACCTTTTGTATTATGGCATATTTTTTCTTTGCTGCTGTAGTCCTACATCCCACTGCAAATCATCTTTCATTTTTCATTTTGTTGACCTGGGTATTATTTTATTTCTTTTAGAAACAGGAAAAAAAAATGAACATCTGTGTCTCCTTCCAATCTGCTGCACATCTGCGCGTTTTGATGCGGGTCTTCAAAGTTCAGTCAGTAACCCACGGACGCCATTCATCTTCTTGTTAAAATGTCTACTGCTGTATCCAATGCTCATGCCCTTGAGGGTTATTTTTTTCTCTCTCTCTTTTTTTTTTTTAAATTTCCATTATTGTTATAAAGAACATTGTGACTTTAATATTAGCATTTTGCTTTCAACAGCAATTAGCAATCTCTTGGTTTGCTGTTTGGTAAAGCATCTGTTAATGAGGTCATCTAGTTTAAAATCCCAGCTACTGGAAAATAACAGGGAGGAGGTCAAATCTATCATTTTGTGTATATTCTCTGCTCTCTTTTCAGTTTTCTAAAGAAAAGATATCTTTGTTATCCACAATAAGTCATTATGACCCGTTACTGGCCTTCTGWATTTTCTACCACCTCAAGATACAGTAAGTTCTTTCTTATTGAAGTATTGAAATATGACAGTTCAGTTAAAATCTTTGCGCATCTGAGGATGAGGAATTGGTTTCATTTTCTGTTGTGTTTTTGTTTCCGGAGTTTGGAGTTCAGTTTTAACGAGGAGTGGCCTCTATGGTGGATGGGGTTCCCGGGGTGGTGGACCTCGGAGTAGCTGCTGGTGGAGTGTCGATGGGGCTCCCGGCCCCGCTGCTGGGTGTCACGGAGGAGCTCACTGCTGGTGTCTCTCCTTGCTGCTGGGCTTGGAGGGTCTGTCCACAGATGTGATGGTGCTTCTCCCAGTCCTTGTGCTGGCAAAATGAGCCACAGTATCGTGCTGTGTTGCAACCACTGCAGGTTTCACTAGCTTTCCGGCCACAGTTCCAGCAACTCTAGAAGCAAAAGAGGAGGGAGATGGGAGAAATTAGTGATTGTCCTAAATTCTACAGTAAAAACAGCTGGCTCAACCCTCTGCCTAAGGACAGCTGAGACATGGGAAGGTGCCACCTTGGGTATCTGAACCTGTTCCACAGCAGCTCCAGTCACCTGGGGGACTTTGTCCCTCAGAAGCTGGGCAAGAGCAGAAGCAGCTCTTTGCTGGTACCAAAGATGAAACTCCAAGTGTGCCCCACATCCAACATGCTGACTAATAGAAAGCTTCAGCAAAACTTCAGCTAGCTCCTCTTATGAATTTATTAAAACAAATAATGAAACATGCACACACAAAACTGTGCTTCTCCAAAAGTGGAGAGGGACTAATGCAAGACAAGAAAGGGAAAAAAGRCAATACACAGGTAAAACTTGCTGACCTAGGAAAACTGAGTACCCTAGGAAAACCTAATTTTTAATCATCTGAATTATACCGTTTGACTCAGTGGCACTTCTGGCACYGAACAGTTAAGCTGCAGTCTAAATCTTTGGCAGGATGGGGAAGCCACTGCAGAATATGTGTGCTATTCACTTTAACACACTCTATAGCTCTGCCAGCTGGATGCTGGAACACAGCCAATCTTTAAGTGATATTCCTCAACTACTTTTAAAAAAAAAAAAAAAAAAAAAAATTCCAGAATGAAACAAAGACCGCAATCCAAAACAGTATTTTAAGGAAATTAGACTTTAAATCAGAATCAACTGGCTTTAGAACTGTGTTAGTTCCATATTCCCTCTTTTTGCTGGTTATCGTTGTTTTGGATGGTTGGTTGCTTGTTTTTTTGCATAGGCATTTACTGGCAGATGGGGGAAGGGTAACTGTCCAGTGCCCAATTGTTCTTTGAGATTGAAATCAAAGGTACATGGCATTCTCAATTCCGACTGATTAAACACACAGACTAAACCAGGTAATTACAGATACATGTGTTGGGGACCTCTTTTTTTTTTTTTTTTTAAATTCATAAAATTGTTCCCATCTTTAAAAACACTCTAAAAAAAAGGCGGAATTACCAACACACAGAAACAGATGTTTCTGGTAGTTAAATGTCGGGAATTCAGACTCCTTGTCTGGCATCACCTGGTTTTGATTCAGTAGTCATTGTTTCGGGTTCATTTTGCTCAAACTCTGTCCAGTGCTGGGGAGGTAAATCCACCTTTGGACATGAATAGCTGTACTATTCTCAAACTCCTTTTCTTTAAACAACCTTTTATCTCCACAATGAAAAATAACTATGAGTGATTTAGACCACTGTACATGAACATATACACACATAGACATATTTATGCATAGGCTGAAATGACCTGACATTTTTGTATTAGCATTTTATATTAGCATTTCCTCCTGCTAATCAGAAAGATAACTGTGATGTACCTGAATTCTCCTTCTTTTGCTATACTATTTTCTTTATTATGTATTGTATAAATTATTTATTGGTTTATGTCTATATTTTTATATTTATTTTATATTCCTTTTTATATATTCTAATTTCTGTATTATAATAGTACTTATTTCTTTCATACTAATGAAAGTTTTATTTTGACATCTTGACGCTTCCTTGTGCTGTGATCAGTAAACATGGTGTAAATCTGCTCCAGCTGTACTTGCACAGTTTCCACCTACTGCCATGCCTGCTGACCTCCTAGCTATTTGCTTCCAACTAAATTGCCAGTTCTGGGTTTGGCCCATATTCCCCTTTATTCCCCCATCTGAAAACAAATACACGTGTACAGAACATCCCCATGCAGACTTTTYCTAAAAGACACTTCCCCCCTGCCACATGGAATAATGCTGAAGCCAGCCAGCAAATGCCCAGGTGCAGGAATTCCTCCCTTGTCCAGATCTGTTTGCAACATTGAAGTGCATGCTTTAATTGCATGGGAATTATTATGAGGATGTCCAAACTTGACTTATTCTAGAATCTRTTTAGTTAATACAGGCCAGCATCCGAAGAATTTTTATTTTGCCTCCTGTTTAAGGAGCATATAGGTGTCTCTAGACGTGATCAGAGCCACAGATAGAATTTCAGTATCTTAGCACATGATCTGTATTGATATCAGAAAACAGTCATTTAATTCTACCAGTAYTGGTTCAACTTTCTTATTAAAATAGACATCAGTTAGCTATCAGACTGTACAGAACATGAAAAGTGATACATAGGTGCAAGATTTTAATGAAGTGGTGAAGCACTAAGCTGACTCCTTATATGATTACTCAATGTGTCCTACATTGTTTGGTATGTGATTTTGTTCATTGGACACATTATTTGTAATTTAACAAGTCATTGCAGCTTTAGTGCAATTGTGGGAATAAAAGCACATAAAATACAAGAATTTCAAAATAAATTTTACAGCTCAGATTTATGCAACAACTTACTGTGTTTAAAAATTACTACAGTGTAAATTAACATAAGCACACACATCCCAGGGAGCTTGCACTGAGACAGCAGCTGGGTTTGATGTGCAGAACTCCCTGTCCCACACAGCCCTCACCATTGTGATCATTCATTGCTCTCTCCCATGTGCAAGTAGTGAAAAACAGCAGCAAAGATCAGGCTCAGGCACCACAACCTTTGGAAACAAATGCTTTCTGTTCATAGTGCTGGCTGATAGCCACAAATTCTACCAAAGCTAATAGCCTGGGCTGTGCTTTGCATAGCCCTGCTGCTCGTGTATTTCCAGCAGATCCAGCTGTCACAGACCAAGCCTGACCTCACTATGGGATAGAACACACTCCAGGTATCTTCCTTCCTGGGATGCTCTAGCAGGTACCAGCAAAATGGAGCACCCTCACTGCACAGAGATGTGGACACAGCATCTTGGACCACAGATGGCCACAGCATCCTGTTGGTCATGCAATCGTAACCTTCATACGAGGGCGTGTGACCACAACTATGGACTGCCTTACACTTGATTTAGGATTCTCCTAGCACTGGCAAGATCCAACTGGGAGCACTATCCAGGTTGGGATGATGCATTTCAAACACAGAAGATCCAGTAAGACTTGGAAAGAACCTGGAGAAAGGCAGCCAGAATAATAAGTCAGACAAACACAAGCTATGGGAAGAGACTGAATAAACTCAGTCCATTAAATGTGAGATGGTAGCCTAAAAGGGGCAGCAGCATCCAAACATCACTGCAGTGAATGTCTGCATCCATGTCTACATGGATGAGCAGAAGTAAAGAGATCAAATTTCTGTTAAGAACAGGCAAAAATTGCCTAGAGATCTTGGAGACTCTCCATCATTAAAGCACGGGAAAATCAGGGGGAATGGTAAAGCTGGAGTTGATCACAGACCGGGAAAGGGGGAAGCCAATCTCTCAAAGCCTCTGCTGGTCTATATATTCTGTCTTTGGGTAGTGACCTACTCCACTGCACTTCCAGCTCACACTCTGTAGAGTTCCAGACGTAGCTAAAACTATGAGAAGGACTAGATTGCAGTTTACCTCTGTCTTGATTTGCCTGTGAAACAGTGAGGTTATACAAAAGGCTAGATTCTCAGACTACATAATTCAATTTAACTTCACTACCTTGAAAATGGATTAATTCAATGAAATTGGGCTAAATTACACCAGATGGGAATCTCACTCCAAATTTATGCCACCGATCATATTTCATCCTGCTCTTTCAACTGTCAAGGAACATCAGTCTTAGGTCAAAGCCTTATCTTAGGTCAAACTCTCAATTCTCATGCACTTAAACTTCCATCTTCAAACACTTCTGTTTGCACTCATGAAAATTCTTAAAAACAAAAGGTCTCCATTTCTGTGGTCTCCAGTACCAAAGCACAYACTTGACAGTAATTTTGCCCATTGTGTTACTTTCATCTCTGAAATATTCAACCAGAGTTGAGTATTTGCTTTCCTCTGACACTCCAACTGAGACTGAGCATAGAGCTTGCTTAAATTAAAAAAAAAAAAAAAAACCTTGCTCAGTCCTCTTTGAGAAATTCTGTATTTCCCCAGTTTGCCATGAAAGGAAGCATGGTTGGGTACGACGAACCCATGACATTCAAAACTCTACCACTGCTAACCACAAGAAAAGGAACATCTAGAAATCACTGAAACCACASGGGCGTAAATGAGGATTGCATGAGCTGCTGAATAGCAGTGTGAAAATCCAGCAAAGTTGTTTACGAGAATTTTATCCAAGACTCATTAGAAAGGGAAATACATCAGTACTTTGGAAATTCCCATGCTGTGTCAAAATGACATTCAAATTTTTAGATGTTTCTAGTAAAGTTACACCTACCACTGAACACTTCAGGCTTGCCCAAGCTGCTGTTTGTTGTGTGAAATACATGAACTTTCATACAAGTCAGTAAGAGTAGCTAAATCATGAAAACAGAAGTGCAGAGCAGTGCAAGGCAGAGCYGTGCAGGCTGGTGAGCCGGGCTTAGCTTAGCAGGCTGGGGCAGTGCCAATGCTCACATCACATCTGCACTGATCCCGTGCAGAGCACATGGCTCTGTACCACTCACCACTGCAGGGGACGATGTGCTACTTTCCAAGAGACGCTCAGCCAAAAAAATTAAACATTAGATAACACAGGYATTAAACTTAATACCAGCCTGAAAACTAGGCTTGCCTGAATCACACCATCTGATGCTCAGAGTCAGGTTTGGCACGGTCCCGGTCTCAGTGGATTGGTCAGCAGAGATTGAACCCAGCTGTCTTCAAAATGTCAGGTGAGTGTGATACTCACACACAACATGAACTGCTGCAATATAAACAAGCCCTAACATTACACATCTCCTAAAAGCAGTGTTGAATCAGCTACATACTTGTTTTATCTGAGCAGATGTCAGCATCTGCTTTAAGAAAGAACTGAAACATTTGCGTTCCTTCCCTGTCCYCASCCCCCACCCTACTCAAAACTGGGGAAGAACACTGAGTGTCAGGTTTTTCAGTGGCATTTTATACCAAACCAGAAAGACAGATGTTTTGATGATCCCACCCCCACTTACAATCTGGGCAGTCAGYCTCTTTGCTAAACTGTTCACCCTCACTATTAAAACTGATTTGCAAAACAGCACATTGCAGCCAAAGCAAGCACAGCAGTCATTACAGAGTAGGCTGCTCACACGTGTTTCTATACTTAGCCACGCCAACTACGATGAATATGTCATCTTCTGTCAAGCAACTGTAAGGAACTGGTGAAAACAGCCATGCTGACAGGTAGGCCTTCCCCYGGTCCTTTTGCCTTCCAGCAGCAGTCTGTGCTGTTAGCTGGTCCTCAATTAATTTCAAAAAGGAAAGCATGAACATGAGCGGGTCAGTTGCAAGGTCTTACATGAAGAAACTATGAAAATCTTTAGAAAGTAAATGCACAGACATTGAAGTTATCACTTTGAGCGTTGCAAAAAGCTGACATAAAAATCATACCACAAAATTCTCACACCAGAACAGCTTCAWGAAGCCTCAGCTAGGTCCAGGCTGCATCTTGCTGAGTAACAAACGAAGGGAGAAACCTTGCCAATACACAGGGAGTGGCTATATCAGTCAAAAATGATATCTGATACATTACAAGTCTGGCATCAAATTTTCATCTCCATTCATAGTTTCAACAGCCAAAAGAACAAATGACACCCATGGGAGAAATATTCTCTGTCAGGAACTGCAGAGCAGTTAGAACTACAGCAGCCTAGACTGAACTTTCTTGTAGGTCTTGGTGTAATGTCCCACCAAGGATAAGAAAAGAGGAGAGATGCTCAGCATTCCCCCTAGACCTGCAAGACTTCAGAAGCTGCAATATAACAGTCTCATGTTTGAAACTGAAAATATTCTAGCTCTAGAAATTTTACTGTAGTGCCTTAAGTACACAGGAATCTGTGTTCTTGGAAGTGTTCTGATGAAAGCTGTAAACAGAGAAAAGTTTATGTAGACTTACAGCCTACAAATGAGGAGCAATGYTCACAGAGAGATCCAAGAGATAATGAATACCAAAGCAAATGTGGAGTTTTATTTCTCAAGCCCTCTTCAGAGTCTCATTGYAGAAGGATCCCAGTCAGGTGAATCTCTGTTAGACAGGTTTTTGTTGGAACGAGGGCATGAATTGCTGTTACTGAGCAACCCAGACCACAAGATAGAGCAGAATGAGATAGAAGAGGATGGGAAAGAAGAGGACGTGACTACAGCGGTGTAACATGTACCTCGAGCTGACCATGAAGAAGAAACATAGTAAGAAGCAAGAACAAAGAGCAATTGAAGAACAATAGGATGATTGAAGAAAGTGCAAAATGCTGAGAACGTTGATTTAAAACTGCAAGGCATRCAAAAMCACGCTTTTGCAAATATACCAATCATATGCTGAAATGTAATAGACAGACTGYTAAATTAACCAATGAATAATTRCTAATCATATAGAAAGGCATTRCTAATCATATAGAGAGGCTGGCTTATGAAAGTAGATAAAAAGGAGCTTGTATTAGAAATAAACGGATCATGCTCATCATATTGGTGTCTGCGTGACCTKGTGTCCCCGTCGCCCAGAATCTCATCTCTAAAGAAACACTTTTCGAACACTGGTAAACTGATCTCCTGTCTCCAAAGATGAAGGAAAATCCATTCCGTTCCTACAGAAGTCACTGTGAGAAGCACTGCCCTAAGTGTTTGGAGCTTGTCATAATTAGAAGTCAAAGAGGAGCTACTTATAAATAGTTACATCTAACTCAAACAAGTATTGCCATCATCTCCCTTCACAGTTAATCACCTATAAACACTATCAAACTTGATTTCTCTCTGATGGCTTACTAAAACTTGCACCTCAAAATAGCCACCCTGATGGCCACAGGGGTGAAAGCTAAAAGATCACGACACTGTACTTCATTTTTAAGTCCCGGAGTCTTATACCCTCCCTGACAACACACAGCCCTGAGACWACTATAACCTTATCAGCCACATTTCATTAGAATGGAATTAAAAGAATTGCTTGCCTAAAGTCCTGTTCCCAAGAAGTGAAAAATCTCAATCAATGCTGCTGCAGAGGATGTAAAGATGTTGCTATATGGCTTCTTTGAGAGTTTTAACTGCTCAGAAGCTGATCACAGCACATAAACTCTTTTATGCATTCCTTTGGATGCACATTTGCTTATAGAAAAACGKGCTGTATGTACTGGCATGTGAGTACTTCCTCTGTCCTGCTTACACTGTATCAGTTCACTAAACAGATTTAATTTGCTGCTTCCTCCAAAGGCATTTACCTTTGATATTTTGGTTTTAACAATAGGAGTCTCTTGTATATATACACCGAAAATGACATCGCTTTAATGACGCTGTATCAGAAAAATGCCCTTTCTATGAACAGTGCAGGAAAAAGTCCTTGAGTATCTTAGATACAAAAACCCAATAAATTGAATTTATGTCTCATTTAATCTACAATGGAACAGTTAGTACTTAAAGAGTACATACACTTCCCCTAGTCCCTTTCTTCCTGAGAAACTTTCAGATGCTGAAAATCAATTCCTTTTGTCTCCTTGTTTTTCATCTGCTACACATTAAGGAGAAACTCTGGGCATTCAGTGATCCCACAATGGTCTTTCATCTCTGGAGAAGGCTGGTATGAATTAAAAACTTACGCTCCCTYGAATTACAGATGCATACTGCAGCATGCCACTGACTTATCTGCTSGTGATTTCTGCCAGTGTTGTCAGCATGCTGCAGGTAGCTCATCTGAATCTCTCAGCCTAAGTGACTCTTCTACAACACTGCCCATCCAGCCCCTGCAAAGGGTTTASAAATGAGCACACACAAATGTATGCTCCCAACTAACAGGGACTGTTACCCAACTCCCTGCTCTTTAGAAGTTATATTAAACCGTAGATTTACTACAGTCAAGATATTGTATACAAAGAATAAATACTTCATGAAGGTAATGCTCTTTCATTTCAGTGGTCTTGAGAAATGGAGATCATATACAAATAACTTTTAAATGTCTTTGTCATGTCTGTTTGTAAGGGCAGTTTTAACTTAAGACTCTTTTTTTTTTTTTTTTTTCTAACAGGCATAAAATGTAATTGCTATCTAGACTGATGGCAGCACTGGTCAAACACATGCTGCTCTTTCACTCCTGTAGTCATGGTGTCAGATGCCCTGCACCACAGCAATTCAAGGTTTCCACTCTCAGGTCTGAARGTACATTAGGGCTTAACATACTTATTCTTGCTGTACTCTTTGATCTATCARTCTATTTTACTCTCCTACCAAATGCTCTTTTCCCACTCCTTAACTCTCAAATACTCCCGGCAGCCAAAGCAACACATTCAAAATAAGGAAACACTTGCAAATTTACATTCACATTCTGTCCTACAGGAACCATCATCTTTTGCTTATTGCTTCTACATCCAACACTTTCCCCAGACAAGCTTTTAGCCACCGTGCTCTACAATCTCTTTCATGAATAATTTCTTTGTTTAAATTAGATTTCAGTGTCAAATGTTTTTCCACCAAGCATCTTTTTATCTATTCAGTAGATAGTCTAAAGAGCTTTAAAATGAAGCTACTAGAAAGTCAAATTAGAGAACAGCAAAGTGCACACTACATGTAACCTGAACAGCAGTTACAAGGTGAGTACAGAGCTCAAGTTCACTTGCTATTTTGGGCTCAGATTACAACATAGGCAAGAGAATTTGGAACTCGGTGTATGCCTGAAATACACTGCCAAGCAGCTGTGCAAAGAGTGAACGGAGGGCACWGTGTCACAAACAGATTGAAGCCAGCTCAGACACACCTACAGCTTGCAGCCACAGTTGATGCTTGCCCAGCAAGGCTCTTACCTCACTTGAATCCTCTTGCTGATTGATGACAGCCAGRGCGTCCTCTGCAGCCTGGCGCTTGGCTTCGGCAACAGTGCGCTCCATCTTGGCCCTCTCCGAAGTGATCATGTCGTGAGCCTTCCGCTCGGCCTCCGACACCGCCTTCTGCAGYTCGGCCATGGCCTGGCGCTTGACCTCATTGACAGCTTCCTCTGCAAGGCAGGGGACAAACCTCATCAGCACAGGACATTTGGCACACGGCTTCATGCCACTGATGTGGGAAATGCATCACTGTTGTTAGTATTATGTTGAGATTATTCTTAATTACAATGAGAGCCTTCATTGTGAGTAGAAGGACACAGAGGAACGTGATTCCTCAAGAATCCTCAAGAAGCACAGAGGTGCTTCTCTACTTCCCCATCATCAAAGTCTCTGATGCTAGCTATGATTCTTGCTATTTTGATTCTCAGTCAGTACTTCTTCAGGTACAATCATTTCAGATTTCCGGTCCATTTTATTTGCAATATTTTTGAACACTGAAAAATTGATTTTGCAGCAAAGCAAATAAATTAATATAATTGACAATAATTATTATTTAAGATATATTACAGATTTTTTTGAAAATGTATTTTTAAGATCTGCAAATTAAGACACTTTACCAACATTTTTTTTCCATTTGTTAACAAATAAATACATGAAGTTWAAAAAATCCCAAGACTTTATTTAAAAAATTTAAATCACTGGTCTAGTATCTTTTCTTGGACACACCATTTTATGAGACAAAATTAAAATTTGTTTATGAACATTCATTTCACCTCTTGATCTCTCCTTCATATCCATGTTTRTACTTGAAGATTTGACTTCCTGGCTCTTCTGAGCTCTTGAGCACACCCTACCCAGCAAGGCTTTGGAGCACAATTAACACTGAGCAGGGGCACCCCGCTTCATTAAACTCCAACCTTCATGCTTCTTGTAAAACAGCTMTGGTAGTATGAGCCCTTTCTTTGGTATATACTGGTGTCATATCTTTTATTCCAGAAAACATGCATTGTCTGAAATTAGTTATTTGGCTTTTGATACAGGAAGAGTGCAAAGATTTTGCTAATGAACAGTCTTTTAATTGACAACTAAAACAAGTAATTTCTTTTTTTTTTTTTTTAATTAACTGCTCTAATTAACAAGGAAACCATCCTCCCCCTGAATTAGTTTATCTAATTTTCATCTTTATTCAAAGCAAAATGACAATGATTAATTGAAAATTTAATAAGCAGTAATTATTAACTTGGCAAACCTAGTACCAATTAACACTCTATTAAAACTAATTATGACATGTTTCATTCAAGTGTTTGCACTTAATTGTTTCATGCACTTAAAACCCACCTTAATTAAATGTTCTGTTTAATTAAAACCATAGATTTCTATTAAAAACGTTTTACTGTAGATTAAAATCTAAGTATTAGAACGGTGTCACGGGTTTGAGGTTTAGTCCATGTATTTAGCCCACGTGTGCACACACAGACATAACTCTTACAAACAGATACTCAGTCACTCTCCTGAGTTACGTCTGATAGCTCTGYGCTTGTTATTTAAAAAGGAATGGCTACATGAGATCTCCATTTTCAGTTATTAAGCAAATTACAATGAAGACTTAACTTCAAGCCATGTACTGACTAAAACTGAACTAGCTAAAATGAAAGAAGAGTTCTATTGAGGAGTATATGTGCACATTACATGTGTGCACGTCTGGAAGAGATGCTTCAACTGAAGTTTTCAGGGGGGTGGGAATGGATTTAGAGATAAAACTTATGCCTTTATTTTTATGAGGCTGAAAATATGCCCTTATATTACCCTACCATAAATGTTGTTTAGGGGAAAGCCTCAGGAGAGGAAAAAATCATACCCTTCAACCATACAGCCAAGGCTTAATTTACTTTGAATATTCAAGGTGAATTAAAATTCTATCTAAGTGGCAATACAGGACAATAATTTTTGCTTACGATCAAAGCTACAGCTAGTCTAATTGTATATGCAAATCAGGCAATTTATATTTAAATTATGCATTCCTATTCTAGTCCCACAGGCACACACAGATCAGCAAAGGGAATTGGTAGGACATTTGCAAGGTGCTTGAATATTTATTACCAACTGCAACCATTCACTGATCACGAGAAAAGAAATATACACAGGCAAACATACAGATGCAATTTTATTACCATTTTCAGAAAAATGAGACAACTTAAATACAGGCATTTCGTGTCTATGAACTGCAGTTACTGACAAAGTGGATTTCTTCAGGAAAATCTGTACTCTTGCTGTTATTTGTTATGAATAGAAATTATCTTTCTATGGCATGATGAACTTTCATCACATCATATGAATTTAGTTTTACAGTTGGGTGTTTGCAGTAGTTAGAAATGCCCCTTTCTTATATTAAATAGAAGCAAAATAATCACAACATTTTTACAGGGACTTCTAATTTTAGGTTTTCATCCCAGATAATCTACTTCTTTTCAGTCCAAATATGGAAATTGAAAATTATATTCTATCTTCTATATTGTGCAAGTTTTGCGTAACACTACTGAGAGCATGAAAATGCCTGATAGTGCGTATGAGGCCATATGTCTCACTGAYGCTTTTAAACTGGCCTGAACTGTGGATTGGATTTTAATATTTCCATTAAATTTGATGACAGAATTTGTATTCTGCTATACTAAGTGTGAAAATAAGTAAGTTTAAATATGTTGGGTCACAATGCACCATCATTATTCCAATATATTACAAACTCATGAACACCTGAAAAAMCAGGTGAAATTTCATAACACTGAGTTTCTTCACAGCTTCTCAACTACATGTTTTCACAACCTAYTGATACTTTATAGACATAGAATGCAGACTTCACAGTTTAAGATATGTTTGTGTTATGAGTGATAGTGATGGAGATTTTTATTYGCCATGACAGTGCTGAGTTATGAAGACCAAGAATGACACCATCACTCTTCTTTTCCCTGCACTTCTAGAGAAAGGAAAAGTGATTAGGTTCCAATATCAGAAAGCACAAATCTGGAAGTTTTTAAAACCAAGTATCCGAGATGMATGTACGTGCATCTTCTCTGCCTTCCCAGCAATGCTAAGCGTTCTTGGCACAAATTCACTGTCATTTTAGAAATGCAGCTGAAATCTTCCTTCCCTTTGGGCAGCACTAACACACGAGAGAAGAGGGAGCAAATAGCTTATGTGTAATAGGCATTACTCAGCATGGTCTGAGGTCCTTGGAGCGGACTTAGGAGAGGTATTTAATTTTCACCCAAAATTATGATTCACCAACCAGCTCCTGGTCACCGCTCTCACATCATCAGCATGTTTGTCCACATGAGAAAAGAAAGGTGGTGGGCAGATGTGCAGTCCTGTGCCACCACAACATTTTGGGCCATCTCCCTCTCAGGCTGACCCTGGCAAGGGTRGTCATTGGCAGTTGGTGACAAAAAGTGATCTCAGCATCATAGTCCAAAAATCATCACCTCTTTCTAAGGATTACTCTGTACAGTGTACAGGACCCAAGTACTGTCATTTCATTCCTCTTCTGTAACTCCAGAGCTTACAGCTGGACTGCCATGGACACTGGGCCTGGCTAAGTGACAGGAATGGTGGGAAAACAATTTCCACAACAGGCCTGAGACCCTCTCTGTATTTAATAAAGGGAACTATGTATTTCCAGMGAGCAAATCACCCAACCTATGATCTGACCTATGATCTGACTCATGCTCATTACCTGCCTCCCACCCGCTTGACTACTGAGGAACACCAAGAACTTGTCCTGGACTCTTCATCCCCATATCCATAATTCAATGAGGTGAATCAGGGCACTGATGASTGCTTTCTACTGATGTATGAAATTGAAATGGCCTTACATGGCTTCTAACTCACACAGTACTGCATAATATGTCCTTGCTCCAGCAATCAAAAAAGCACATGCTCAACTTGGTGCATTTCAAGAATTACACTGGAGTTTATCAATCTCCAAAACTTTTAAAGTGAATCCCCTTTCCACATGTTTTTGAGTTTGCTTATTAACTGCTTTTATGCCACATTCTTTCAGTGCAATAGATTCAGCATCCCAAACAGTCTTTGATACTTGATTCAGCTCTCTGCACATTGGTCTCTACAGACATTTGACACATCAAGAGATCCACACCAAGCCAGCAGAAATGACCTGTGAGGGATTTGCAGCCTTCTTGACTGGCAGCTGCTGCCCAGCCAGGAAAGTACAGAGCATGACAAATGGCATCAGAGGCCTGTTCTCACAGAGCTGAATTGCACTTTTACTACCTTGATCATGAAATGTGGAGACCTCCAATTTCAGAGCACCCTCCTGAAAATGTAGGACCATGATTTATGAAAGCAGTATGCTTTCTGATGTGTGCCTAGACTTAGTAACAGGTATGCATCCTGCAGAGTCACACTTCTTTTATTCTCAGGTACGTTCACTTGATTTATACCCACATCAGCCTGCAAATAAGAGACTGGAAATGGGACCAAAGGAAAAGCTTTGTTTCAAAGGAACTGATGACATTGACGTTCACAAGATGCCACAGCTCCTGTATACTACCTTTTGTGAATACATGCAATGTGAATGCACATCCAATTTTGTAACTCAAGCCCAAAGTTTAAATTAACTTGTGCTAATTACGAAGAAACTTGGTTTTTTTTATTGTATTGAATCTATGAGTCAYAAATGACCCGATGCTAAATGACATGAAACCCTCGATTTTGTAGGAGGAGTTGAGTTTTTGAAATTCAATTGAATAATGYTCCTCTTAGTGAGGTTTCCTGGGATTGCATTATTTTTCACATTTTTCATTTAAAATGTTAACATAGATATGGCAATATAAAAATACTCCTGGGCACTGAGTTACAAAAGCTACAGTTTTCTTGGACAAAACCAAGAACATGTACATTGTTTTACCATTTCTCACAGAAAATGCAATAGTTCTAAAAGCATTAACATATTAACAAATGGAGACTTTGCATGATAAACCCACATTACACACAAAACACAAATTCTTGTCTGATGCAACAAGACCACAGAATAACATTTTTACATGTATATTGTGTATCTAGTTCAAAATATACTGGAAATCCACAAGCATTTACAGGAGATTTGATCAGAAAGCATCCACACTGCTGCATATTTGCCATTTAATCATTAACTKCTGCTCAGACAGCTGCTATGGGCCTCATGGTTATACAGGTGTTCAAAAGGGGGGTGTGTTTGGGTGTATGAACAGCTCCTCAACTATCTTGATGGAGTTCACAGTTGCCTCCTGGCCCCTCTGAAAACAAGGAAGCTCTGATGTCAGTGTCAAAAGAGCAAAGGGTTTAGCTCCAGCACCAGAGCRGGATCCTTGCCAGGAAACTCCTGTGCTCAGGCAGAGTTTCCAAGYGTTAAGAAAACTTTGCACAACCACAACGTCTGCCCAGGGTGCTTTCCAGGCACAGGCAGATGCTGTCAGTGCCCTGCAAACAGCCAGAGCAGCTGCAGAGATGCGAACTTGCTGACTTCATTGCAAACTCTGCAGGTTTATGAGCACAGGCTTCACTGGGGGCTGACAGGCACAAAATCTTTTTTAAATTAAGAATGGTTAACTTTGCATAGTTGAAGTCTTTTTTTTTAACAGGTGTGCTTAGGTTTTTCCCCTCCTTTGGGAATTCTTACCTTAACTAGGTAAGAACCCTGAAGCTTAAAAAAACTCACCCACACTAACTTCTTTTTTTTAAATTACTAACAGACTGATTTTCAACATATCAAGTTGCAGCCAGAAACCATTAGAAGCCCTGAAAATAGGGGCCCACATTGGAAGTACTGATATTCCCCTAACTACAAACAGCAGATGCTTCTATTATAAAATAATTTAATGTCCTGATCAGTTCCAGTTTAAGATTATTAAACACAATTTCTTCTTGTTACTAGTAAGCCCTTCCCCCGCCTCCCCATTCCTCACATCAGTGCATTAACAACTGCACACAGCTGCCAGAAGACTAAGCTGGTGTTTTTAAACAGTTCTTACCAGCTTTCTTCCAGATCTCCTCTGGCACGTATCCAGACGCAGGCCTGTGAAGGAATTCCCGATGAGATTCTGCAGGAGGAGTGGGTGAAGAGGGAAAAAGAAAGAGCATCATAAGCAAYGCTTTCTTGTTGAGAACAAGGCTTAGAGAAAAATACCTTTTCTCTTTAATTATTGCTCAGACAAAGAAATCAARTGAAGTTTTCCTCCCCTCAAAACAAAACGGATGCCATGGCTGTAGCTCATGAATGTCACATAGATCAGACAAATGCTTATGACTTGAATGTCTCATCTTAAGCCAAGTTGAGACATTCATTTTATTTTTATTTTACAGTGTTTTATGTCAATTCTGCATGACAGTATTCACACCTTTAAGGGAGGCTTTGGGAGACAAACTGAGGGAGTGATGTGCTTTGTCCTTTGTCATTGTATTTATGAAAAGGAAAGAGGGCAACAGTGCAGGTTTGGCACTTCTGCTCTGTGCAAGAAGAATGGCTACTGACAAGTGCAGATAAAAGTCAAGATGTCACTACAGTGATCAAATAAGCTGTCCACAGTAAAGCAAAGGGGTGTTTCTCTAAGTTCAGAGCTATACTTTCCTAGATCTGAGCCCAYGTTGGCAACTGTAGCTGTAAGAGTTTGAAAAACAGAACCTTTAACTTTAGGTTAAGCCCCTAAATACATGTTGCCRAACAACCTCACTGGAGCTGAAGCTCATAATTCACCCAGATATTTCAATCACATTTTGACAGCTCTTTCTCCTCTTTTTTTCTTAAGGGTTTAACCTTTAGACCTGGRCCTAAGAGTTCTGAAATCAGCAAGAACCCTTCCACAGGGACTTCAAAGACCTAAGATCAGACAATACAAAAAGAAAATTCACTTTGGCCAGAAATTTAGCATACAGAYCCTCAGCAGATCAAAAGCTGCTCCTTTCAAATACAATTTAAAAACTAATTAACTATTATTCAAAGTTAAGAGGATAAAATGAAAAAAAACCCTTACCAAACACACAAAACTAAGTTCACAGCCATAATTACGATTGTTTGTGTATCAGAATTCAATTGTCTAAATAAAATAACGATTTGTTACATTACAGACAGGTTTGAATGTTTTTAGAGAAGCTGCTAGAAATCAAATACCTGTTTGATGTCTGAGCTTGAAATATAGCAAGAGTATATGTGCCATTCTTTGAATACTTATTTTCACTAAATATATATTTTTGTATCGTATTCACTAACGTGGTCAAAAGGCAGTATTTTTAAGAAAAAGATTGAAACATGAGGTTTGACAAACCATTTTTACACTACCATATGTATCCATGCAGTACTGTTTATATACAGTAGCCCACATAAATTTAAATGCTTTTAAAAGATGACAATATTGTGGGCAGCTAACAAAGGTGGAAATGACAGGGACATTTTCCACAGAGAGCAGGGAATCCCAATCCCTGTGCACTGTTTCACAGATGTATTTTCTAGCATGAGAATCTGCAGACACTGACTGGGAGCACATCCTCCCATCTGACAGGCAGCTGAGTAGTTTACCCAGCTCTTCTGTTTGTCACTAAGGTATGGGACAGCAATTTAAAATGGATTTTTGTCAGCAGACTTTCACACCTCTCAAGCATAGAATAAGAAGTGTGTGTGTGTGTGTGTGTGTGCGTGTGTGTGTGTAGATTTTGCAAAACAACTATTTATATTGATTTAATCAACTTGATAGATAATTTCAGACCTGATACCAAAAATGGGAAAATTCTCGGTATCATTTGGCTTGCATGATTCTGCAGATGACAAATAGCCTTGTGTACACTTCTCTCACCCCTTAGAGGCTTTTAGACTTACAGGCACAGTGCCAGTTCAGTTAGAGGGACAGAGGCAGCAGCAGCAGCAAACATTGTTTGAAGGCTCAAGAAAAATAAAGCCAAAAAATTAAACCACTCCTATTTGGTCTTTATGAAATGCCTGCAGKAAAAGACCCAACCTGGCTCCAAATSTGGCAAAACAAGGGGTTTCTTGCATTCATGTCCTGTACTTTGTATTCAGTTTTCTGTTATTTAAGGTACCATCCACTGCAAGGGGAGTATAACCTTGATTTAAGTCTGTTGCACTTAGTATTGGAGGAGGAAAAAACAAGAAAAAAATAAAAAAGAGAGAGAGAGAGATGTGGAACTGATTTTTCGGTACACATGACTTTCCAAAAATGGAATTCAATGACATAAATGACCAGATTGCCAGCTAATTGTTAAAATTTCCAAAACATAAACATCAATCAAGCTCTTATTCCAACCACAAATTATTTACATGAGGAATGAGATCCTCTGCAAGAAGAATTAAATCAAGATCTTATGAGAGACTTTCCCATAGTTTGGAATGGTGCACAAAAAAAAGACAAGAAGCACTTATGAAGATAATAAAAACCATATTTTCTAAGCAAGAAAAATATTAGTAACATGGCTATTGTTTAGTCAGTGGTGATGAGTCCRTGAAAACAATCTTCTTTCTGAGGCTAAACTACAGGAAATGACCAGAGGATATAAATCTTGCATTATTACTGTTTTTAAGGTATGGTGTCTTTCAGCTTAAAAATCATAAAATTGCACAAAACTGGAGCCCAAAAGATCTTAACTTGGACATCTAGCAAACTCAAACCAAGATTAACACACCTGAGTGAAGACTCTAAAATACTAAATGTAAAAGCAACTGCAAAAAGCCATAATGAGGAAAACATATAATATTAGCTAACTAAGTGCAGCACCTAGAAGTCAAAGTAAATGCTGCCTGTRAGGAAAGGGAAAGAAATCAGACAAAATTAAGAATAACCTGAAGTGACAAGGCAGATCATTCAGAAACGGATATTGGAAAAGGCTTTACATGTCAGGCATAATAACAAAGGTTTGTTAACGGTGAAAATGCAACAATGTCATTATGCAGAACAACAGTAGGTACACCACTGAATTTACTTGAAATTCATAGCAAGGCATGAAAGCATGTGTTGATAGTTAGTCCAGTTCCTACTGAAGCAAATGAAAAAGCCCAATAAGGAATATAAAAAGCATATATATATGAGAGTATTCTGTACTTCTCCGTAAGTGCTTAAATGAGGCAAAAATAAAAGAGGTTTTTGGTGTCAAAAATGGTATTGGAATTTTCTATTTTAATGTGAAATAAACTTGTGAAATAGAAAGAAATTTGTTGCAGTGAGACAAAAGAATACACATGAAAAAACCACAAAAATTTTGCATTGGTTTCAGCTCTCACATTCTACTGAACATTTTTGGTGGCTTTAAGATAAAGAGACAAGGTGCTGAAAGTAYTGAGAGACGTGCAGGGATGTGGAGAGTTTTAAGAGCAGCCATAAATATGGATCTGTGGAGTGAAACTGAGACAAAACGCTAGAACCAAGTAAATTATATGAACTCTCATGTGATAATAAGGCTCAAACCCAAGGAAACAGAATAGAAAGACTTAGAAGGAAAAGATACTCTTAAAACTCTCAAAAAGCCTAACTTACATTTAGAAAGAAGGACAGAAGATACATTATCAAAACAAAATAATTGATGTTTTTATCACTGGACAGTGACATGCAAGTCTATAATACAAAGAAGCAAGAAACAGAGATTTACAACTGATGTTTTGATGATCTTTTGGAATTTACTGTTTTTATGAAAATATGGGTAGGGACAACAAAACTCTACATGCCAAACTGAATTTTAAGGCTCAAGAATAATAAAAGCTACATATAAGCAGYCCTGAACAAATTAAATATGTATTTTTTTATAAATTTATATGGTTTCCATATTTCATATGCAAGTTCTGTTTCATTCTATTGTATGAAACACCATTGGTGGGACACAGAAAACAAACAAAAAAAACCTTATCAGAACAAAAAATATTAAATATTCACTGCCTTGTTTGTAAGAGTCAAGTTCAAAAGTGTGCCAGTTCCACATAATGAAATATAGAGATACAGATCTGAAGGTGGGTAATACTGAATGAGGGTACCTTGCAAACCTTGTTGAGGGGCACAGGTTGCCAGTATTTTTATTACTTCTTCGCCCTTCTTTGCCCTCTAACACATTTTTTGTGGCTATTACAACACCCCTTGAAATTGTGCTAAAAACATAGTTGTGTTCACATTTTAAAAGAACGAGAAAAGAAAAACCACGTAGGTACTGTGTTACTGAACCATCCTCAAGCAGAGGCCAAGTCAGAAGTGAGCACTGAGAATACAAACATGCAATGTTTCCACAGCTGCAGACCTACCTAACAGCGTGCAGTTCAGTAAGCCACAATCTAGCCCAAACCTCCCAGGCAGAGAGTGGATTAAGAGCAGTACTTAATGTCATCAGTGACCAGCATCACAGAGGCTTTACATTCTAGAATTACAAGTTGTAAATGTTACTGTGGTATTCACAGCATTATGGCTAGCTCATGTTGAGAATATCATGCATATCACAGCAATGCTGATTATGTGCAAATGGCCAAGGAACGGGTTTATAATCACAGCACGAGTAGACATGTACTGGCAGGAACTAACACTGAAAACACGACGGTGAACAGCCTTAGGGAAAATAGAGTCTGAAAGGGTTAACATTTAAAAATGTATTAAGAAATGGCTAACCTATGTGTTTTTGACAAATTCATACACTTCTGAGAATCCTGGTTTCCTGAGGCAAATCCTGCAGGTATTGGCACTCTTCAGTTGGAGATTTCAAACTCTACTTTGTAAGATTTCCATTCAGATAAATTCAACAGATACAAAATATCAACGCTGCTGCAGACCTTCTGATGTGTGCCTGCTCCACTTATCTAGAGCCACAGCTGCACTCTGTATGGTTATAGATCTTGTTTATAACCCACGATGCTGAAGAACCCTCATCTTTAATTTATCCCACTGTGTGTATTTCAGTATACAGTGTCTGATATGTGTAATTATTCACTATTAGGATGAAAGTTGCAGTCCTGCTGCAGTGTGTAGTACTGAAATTCTTCAGCAGAAATGGAGGAGTCRGATGATGTATTATTCACTTCATAGACCATCACAGTTAATCAAGTGAATATATATAAAGTCTGAGTCATTTTTAGACTTTCATAAACATGTATTATTCAGACCGAGCAGAATAGACCCATCTTACCTTCAGCACACTCTTGGAGAATAATGGGAGCTTTGTAACCTGTTGTAGCTGGCTAATGCGTGTATTGGATTACATTGCATTAAAATGAATGATCAAATATTTCATTTAATTTCTTAATTAAAAATATCAACAGAGAAATATTGATCATGTACTGCAAACTGCCATGCTCAACATGATTTACAGGGATGTCAAATTAAAAGAAGCACAAAAATCGTTGTCAGGAAAAAGTCTACTGGTTCAAAATGATAACCAGAATTTTCTTCAACTACTTTTGAATGCWAACTATCCATGCTAGATTTCAGCTCAGAGTTTTTCAGCAAGAAAATTCTTATCTATGAAGACTATAGCATAATGTTTGTGGTGAGAAGTTATCACTTCAGTGATAATATTTGAATTGAAAAGAAAACGAAACAAAGGCACAGACAATGTAGCCATATGGCCCCCTKTTTTTCTCCCTTGCTAGTGTAGAATACAAGATGGATTTAAAGGGTGGATTACCTCGTTGGAAAAAAAAAAAATAAACCCCAAAAAAAAGGTACAAAGAGGAATCACTCACATTTAGAATCTCTGTAGTAAACCCCCAAATATTTATATGTTGTGGTACTTTAATTAAAATATTGGAAGAATTTTTCAATCCCATTTTCCTCACTTCAAAACTAAAATTAAAAGACCTAAAGCATCTAAAGGCTCAGAGACACTGCTTTGGCTTTATTATACCTCTGAATGTTAAGGGGTTTCATTTTGTTAACTAGATTACTACCAGATTTGAGGAAATACAAGGATTACCTTTCCATAAACTCCAAAGTAATTATCTTCTACCTGTCATGTCAGACATAAAAGCACTTCTTACCAATATTTACAATTTACATGGATGCCACACCACTGAAGCAGTCCAAGTTTCATGTTTGTGAGTCTCAGAAGTATTTTTTCAACCAAATTACCAAAATGGACATGTTAAAATTGAATGGGCTCACTCCAACCAGTTCATTTGTACCCACACTACTTCAGAGCTAACTGATGAGTCCAATGCCTAAGGCTGTGCTGTATTATTATTTTTTAAGCCAACAGGCTTTGCTGTTCCCAAGAATTGATCTTGACAAATACACAAACAAATGCTWATATGGAGATCTAACTGCATGCTTGATCTTCATTTTATCTTTTGTAACTGCTGTCATGGTTATGATTATTTTTCTTGTAATAATTGCAATATTGTCTAYAAAGTTTTGATGAACATCATGAATGAGTCCCAGTTTCCTTGGGGAAATAGAAGCACTTAAGTTACCTTCCATTTTTTACCTACACAAGCACCATGGCTTGTCTCTTTTTGCATCACAACTTTCCTAGAGAAGTGAGCCACTGCTTTAGATCACTCATAAGCGTTCTTCCTGAAGCAGCAGATGTGATCAACATTTTAGATGCTGTATTTATGAGCCTTTCTTTACATCACACTTAGCACTCTTTGCACAAGCCATTACCTGAATACTTTCTGAGAAGGGCTCCTCTAGGGACTAGGCTTATTAATGAACTTTGGAACAGCATTTCCATAACCCTTCCTTCCACTGATTGGAGCACATTTATAGAGCTATCGACTCAGGTAATTTCACACACACACACACACACACACACACACACACACACACACACACACACAAAAGATTTGTTTGTTATCAACAGGCACTAAATATTACAGTAATAACTCTAGAGATTTACCAAGGCAATGATGGAAATGGGATTAGATATGTTTTTCTATTTGCAATTAAATATGTTTTTGACTTAGTAAGTAATTCTTAAAGGCAAAAGGAAAACAGTTAAAAATAAAATATAGTTACAAAATAACACACATATCCAATTCTACTAATGAGCACAGTTTATGATGATTTTGAGTAGATGAATTAACTTTTTAATAAGACAATATTAGACAAGCAAGCATAGTCTGCTGTTGTCTTCAAAAGTGCAAAGAACAATAAAAAGTCATCACCAAGATGTGTTTCTTAACCATACCTGCCATGAAATTGAGGGGATAGGGCAGAAGAAGGCCAAAACACTAATAACTTATGGAAATTCCCCAAAGTAAAAGCTTGTTTTTATACAGCAGAGTCCTCTTAGAGTAGTTGTGTGCAGTACCATGCCAGAGTGACTGTGAAGGTCTGCAGGGGTGAGTGAGAGCCCAGTGCTGGGTCTGGTCCTTGTAAGGTSGCTGCAGGGCCCCCAGAGCTCAAGCTCTGCAGCTTGAGCCAAGCTCATATAGCTCCATGGAACCACACAATAAACATACCCAAACTACCTCAGACACACCTGCATGAGCTGCAGTGATGGACACAGACCGAGGAGGATTATGTGAACAYGGCTGTGAGCATCCCAAATCTTGTTCCTTTCTTAAACAGAACCCAAGTAAAGCTAAGAAGTGCCTGTATATGTACAACTCACATTATTTCTTTAGTAATACAACTTCCAAGTCAAGTGATTTGATTTGAGAAGGTGAATGCCCTCTGTTTCAAGGTGCAAACAATCCAGGAGCACCTACAGATTTTCTTAAACAATCAGGCAAGAGAGGGAGTCAGAAGGGACACAGAGCCCGGGCACATCTCACTTCTCTGCCACCCCTACACGACAGTCTATCCTCCCATCCCACCACTACTTTGCTGAATGGAAATTACCAAGCATTGCCCAAGAAACCTCAAGCCATTCAACCCTGAAACATCACTGTTAGGGCATAAGAGTTACAGTTAATYCAGTAGTCAGCAGAGAGGAATCATCACTGTAACGGAGGAATCAGAAGAACAAATGCAAACATCATCTCTCACTCAGCAGAGCTTAAAGAGAATCAGTACATGATTTTCAGTGAGGATACTGTACCTAATGAAACTGGATCTGGATTCACTGGACTCTGCTGTCTGGAATGACTGCTGCTGCTGTTACCGCCTTTTTTTAAATCTTCCGCATCACTGTACCGCCGTATCCAGTAATTCAGCTCCTCACGGTCTGCTTCTTGACATCGCCGTAGGACTGTGAGAGATCGCCTTGTTTTTTCCACCATGTCCATTATACAGTTCAACAACTATCACAGTGGTGGATGGAGCAGAAAACAAAGAAGAATATTTTATTCACTGAGTGACATAATGATAAAGAAAATGTACTGAGTGCATGGGTTTTAATAATGAAGGAGTCCCTCTCTGTTCATCTTAAGCACAGCAGAAAAATTCTAGACTTGCTTTAAGAATGACAATCCCTTCCTTTTTAACTGRTGATCCTAAACTATACAGATAGGGACTTACAAGAGAAAGAGCAAAGACAAAGAGAAAAAGACTGAACAGTCTGTAGTCCTACTGCTAGTATTACATGGCACCACAGAGGAAACAAGTTGTGGTCCAAAACCAATGCCAACAAAATTTACAAGAGGTAATCAATTCAAGAGCAAATCCAAGTCTCAGATCCAGCATTTATAGAGAAAGTTCATTCCTCTTTTGGCAGTCTGTAATRATTAGGGTACTGCAGAAGACACTTGTCAGCAAGGCCTGATATGAACTGTCTAATGGAGAACATCAAGCCCTCTGATTTAATCAGCAAAGCTTTCAGAACTTGTCCTGGATTTCAGATAGGTTTGAAAAGAAAAATTTTAAATTCCTATCTTAAAAGGCATCCTTTAGACAATCATACACAAAAGTATATTTAGCCCTTACATGGTCAAGATGTTTCCACTCTTCTGCCCATTCTCTGTCTGTTAGCCTGTGATCAATCATTTCTTCTTGACGTGTGCCATGCAACCCTGCCAAAGAGGAGCAAATCATATTTACAATGTTGGGAGTCCTCTATGGTGAAAAAAAAAGSAGAAGAAAAAAGCCTATAAACAAAAACTTCATACTTTACCTGTTCCAGCATCAGGAATGCCACAACAAAAAAAAAATTGCTTCTTAAAAACTTTGCTCTAGGTTCTCTTTAGTACTTTTCACCACACAAGATGGTAGTGTTTTGTTCAACTTAATGTTTTCAATTCTTTAAGTTCTACATGTTGCAARATGACCTTTCAAAAGTGAACATAACTCTTTCTGACTAAATACAATTATTATATACATAAATATAACATAATACAAGATATAWTTTTTCATTTGCACTGCTTGAAGTCAACAAGGCAATTATTTGGTAACTCAGTGCATCGAATATGAGCTGTACTTTGGAGGGTTGAAAAAATATTAGTATAAACTCAGTGTTATTTCACTAAATACAGTAATTACTACCATGTCAACAGAACATCACTAAGGGTTCATCCTTTTACAGATATTTAAACAACATGTGCTTAAAATGTAGCACATATATCAGAGCAGCTGCCAACATGATACAACCAAGCCAATATTTATTATCAACACTCAAGGGGAACCGACACTTGTTCTTTGTTTAGCCTCCTCTATACAGATGCTGAATATTTGTAAGTTCCTCTTTTACTGAAGATTTGTTTAAAACAAGGAAGAACAGTAAGTGCAGATGTGAAGCAAAATCCAAGAGCATCAGACATCCCATTAAACTAAACCGTGCTGTGCGGGATGTGGCTGGCGCTTCTGCTGTTCACGTCCTCTGTAGACATCCCACACTCTGGAGATGTCACACACAGAACATTTCTCTTCTTCAACAGAACAACTTTCTTCTGCTCTAGGCTGAAATCAAGCTTAATCAATCAATGTGTTATCATCACAAATCTAGGATTAGAAAAATAAAAGGCTCTACCTATCCTAGCCTGCCATACACCTGAGCGTCCATGTCACCCATGCAGCTTTGAAAACACAGGTTGCTCCYGCTTCTGACCCTCTTAAAGACACAGTTCAATCCACTTTTACAAATATAAATCTGAAATAAGGCCATTAGAACCAGATGGATGGACAAACAGCCATAAAGGCTATATCTAAACAGTGGGTAAAAAAATCCTGTTCACAATATAGTTACAAGGGAAACAGAAAAATCTAAAAAAGCAATGGAGAAAATCAACGTGCCTTACCCATAGGTCTGTTTCTGTCCCTGAGGTCCCTGTGATTGGGGTGTCTGTATGAGTCCCTGTAGTGGTGGGCAATGGCCATATCATCCAAACGATAATGCTGAGGTGGAGGTGGGGTGGGATGAGGCAGACCATTGGGCTGATAAGATAAGCCATTATTTGGACTGTACCGCTGGCCTGGGCTAATAGTGCAGGGCCGCTTGCTTGGATGCTCTGAGTGCAAAGGCTCTCTGTCAAAGCCATTTTCTTTGGTTCTGAAAAACAAAGCAAAGGAATTTTAATTCACTTAGTGAACAGAGCTTGGGAACATGCACCCACACCTACACATGCAGMCTCAGGAACTAAAGTTTCTTCTTTTCACTTTGCTCCAAGTGTGTGGTGTTGCAGAACATTTCCTAACAATGCTCATTTGAAACATACAAACAAACAAACATTCACCTTCTTTAACCATCCCTGTAACTGGAGAAATACTAGGGGGTGAGACTTCTGATGGAGCCACTTACGGAGGGGCTGGAGAGCAAGCAGCCTTCACTGAGATCACCAGCTGATGGGGTGGATATACACATGCAATTGCAGAGGTGAAATAATCAACTGGTACATGAAGCTAGAGACCAAGAAATTCCTAACTTCAGTAGTGCTATAGTAGTAGTGCTTATGGTGATTAGGAGAAATCTGCAGTTCAATAAATGCTAGTTTTTTCAAGAAGACAGTCTAGTAGTGCATGCCAGTGTGCTGAAGATCAGCATGCCATGAGCTCCCATCCAGATCAGTGTCACAATGAGACTTTGGGAAAGAATTTACTCAACAAGATGAGAAATGCATCCTTCAGAGATTTCTGTATCATCTGGGCTATTCCAGTCAAAGCTGCTGTGACTGTCATTAATTTTGGAGGAAGATGTGGTTAGAATAAATTCCTCAGAAATGTTTAGGTTTTCCCACTCCATTACTCTTAGACAGGGGTTTTATGCTCAGGCAACTTGGAAGAGCTACTTAGGAGAAGGACAATGGTTCTTTATGTTCTAGATAACACTTCAATTCACTATCAGCTATTTCCAAAAAAGTCTCTACTTGACACCTCTGCCTGAGAACCTTGAACTCACACTGAACTAATTTTCCTTTAAAATAAAAAAAGGAAGACTAGAGTTACTTCAATGGGTTCACAACCCTTTAGCAAAGTTTCATTTCACTGAAATATGTTTTTTTTTACCACATGAATAAAGAAAGCCTACAAAATATTAGCTTTGATCAGAAAGTTTATTAGATATAAAAATTGCAAACTGAGGTTTCAWTCCTCCCTGCAAAAACCTTTATTAAACTGCTGATATATTCCAGCTTTTTWAAAAATTATCTCTGTAAGAAATGGATGGCATAATGTATCGTTCCTAGCAATAACACAGTTTTTGACACTTTGACAGAAAAGTAAATTTGAGCCAATTTTCTTGTTTCCCTGTTGTTAAAACCAACTGCCCTACAACAAACCTTYCCCCAGAAACCAATCAACCACCCTCAAAGACTGACAGTGGGGAAACACTCAATGTATTAATTGTCGCCCCTCAAGAGATTTCCATTTACTGCCAATGAGAGGAAGAATGAAACCAAATCATTGTCAATATCCTCTGGGAGAGAGGATCAAACTAAGATCTTGTAACTAGCAACAGGAAATTAAAAGATAGGCTGCAYTGTTTTCAGAAGGAGTGAAGCAATTTCTCAGAGACCTCACTAAAATTACTAATGCCAGAGAAGCTGMAGGTATATATATTTTATTAAACTGTAACTTGGCAAAAAGGGGAGCATCTTTCACCTTTCACAGCCGGACATCTATTCTAATTTTGGGCAGGTATAAAAGACATAGTTTGCTAAAGTAGAGCACGTACCTTTTTCCAAAACAAATGCAGCATGGCTGTGAAAACTCCTAACCAGGAAAACCTGAGGTTCATCATATATTCTTTTATTACTTTTGGGATGATGTAACTGCTTGCAATATCTGCCAATGGATAGTGATGTTCCTGACAGTTCTTCAAGACAAGTTTTGTATTTAGCTGCTGATGTATGTTTTCATAGCACATATCCAGTCCAAGTCATTGTGCTGGTATTCCAGTAGTCAAAATACCACMCAAGCAAAAAATGGACTTTTCTGTCTATGCAAGAAAAGCCATTAATTTGCYTAAGTTCTCTAGTGCTACAGTTATAATGTTCTCTAACTTATATGGGTAAAAGTCACAAACAGCAAACAACTCACTGGCTTTTTTTTGATCACTAAGTGTACGAAAAGTAAAGGCAGAAGAAAACTGGGGCACGTTGACAATCCAGTTATCCTTTTCTGGACTACAACTTGATGTAAAAATCTTATATTTTCATATAAATGTATATATTTGCACCTTAATGTACAGGTGTTTTATTTTTGTGGTTCTAAGGAATGCTTTGTACTTAATTACCTTAACTGGAATGCACTGTTTTAGCTTGGAAAACACACCAGCAAATCCACTGAACTCCAACATAGAAACTACCATGACMATTGAAAACACATTTACTGAAATARAAATCATGTTTTTGCTATTATGCTGGGTAATGGCTGCCATGTCTTTTCTGGGTGTTAAAATTTAWTTCCACAATTTGTTGATATGTTTTCTGCACTGACCAAATAAACAGCTTAGCAGAATATCAGAATGAGACTGTAGATAAACACATTTTATGTTTCTGACCATATAAAAATATATTAAAAGGTAACAACTTAGAGAAACTCATCAGAACAGGAATCACTGCCAAATTTACTGTATCTGAATATACTGAATATACTGAATATAGTGATAAAAGACAAGGTACTGAAGAGTGCCATAATTCAGGTGCTCTGAATTCAGCCTACTACTCTGCTTCTGATCTCAGTCTCACTGATTCTTTTAGATCTCACCCCCTTGGGGCAACAGCTATTCCCCAGGTGCCTGAGAGAGCATTCCTGTTTCCCAGTAACTGGCAGACCATTGTGAATAGTAGCTCCAAGTATAACACTGTCACAATTTTAATCTGTTTTCATCTGATTTTGCAAAGTAACCACAAGATGTAGAGAGGAAATAACAGTGAAAGTGTAGGAAACATGACTGACACTTTTTTCTTGCTCCTGTTGGCCCCATTTTCCTTGATGTGCACATAAATTAACACTGTTACTTGGAAAATTGGCAATATGATAAAGACGGGGTCCTTCAGCTATAAACACACAAGAGGTCATTTTACTTGAAGCCATGATTTACTCAGATTAAGGATAGCAGAACAGACACTGCTTTTTAATCTGTACCCAGTTAATAGAATTTATGTTGTTAGTAGGTTGTAATTTCAGTTTTAAATTATTGCAATTTAAGAATAATTTCCTGGGTAGAAAATCTGACTATGCAAAACTGCATTGGCTAGAAAATTACATCTTACCTGATCAAGAGTATTACACCAATTTCAAAGAACACTACTAAAGTCATTTTACAAGGGGACAAAGCTGTTCATCTACTATTTGTGCAAGATGCTTTGATTTAAACCAACTTCCACCAATAAAGGTTTGATGAACCAAACAAATTATAATGCTTTGCTGGAATAAAGTAGTTGTTCATAATACTGTGTTACAGAAAAGATTATTCCTGCCTTGCTAACAGTTCATATTATGAAAATTATTTTAAAATTCCTCATAATTACACATGGCATACAAGGAGCACAGYTGCAAGAGCTGTGAGCATCCTTTACCTTATTGAGATATTGAAGAGCCTCTTCAAGATTTACCTAASAGTATAATCAAACTTGATCTCTGTGCCCAGGTACCTTCAACATGTATTTCCTGTCATGGGTTCCAAGTGTACAGCAACCACAGCAGCACTTTCTAAAGTCACAATACAATCAGGGCCACTTTTGTTTTCTTCTCACTCAAAATTAATCCTATTCTAACAGAATTTTTTGCTATCCTATATCCACTTTGTAGGCAGCTGTCCTAAATGTAAAGTCACTATATCACATGTTCACATGCCATATAGTCCTTCCCAGCAATCTCAAAGGATGAGTAAACTGGCAAAAAGTTTTTTGTGATTAATGCATTTAAAATAATGTAATTTATAATTAAGCATTCATTCATCAAAATAAAAACTCACTTTGGTCCAAGTTCCTTTGAATTACTACAGTAGAATGTAAACTCCAAAACTTGTAAACAAAATACAGTGAACACTTCGTTYATGACATGTCATGAACAAATTACCAAAATGTGTTGTCTCCTCAGGTGTCAGTTTTCCTCTCTTGCAGTGACTGATGGTTCCCAGTGTTATTACAGAAACAGATTGATCTTTTTAATGAGCTAGTTTAATAGACTCCAAAATCTCACCGTGGCTGCTCATCCGTGTCAGACCATATGCACCAAGAAAACATTCAGTAAAACACGAAGCTCTGCTGTCAGATTGCTCTATAAAACCTCACATACAGTAGAGTTGGATATGCAGATAAATAACCAGAATTATTGGAAAATGGATATGCAAAAAAGGTTCTGAAATTATAAGCAGAAAAAATTACTGTATGTGGATTTTAACAAAAAAATCACGAGGCAACTGTGGTTACATGTAACACACATTCCACTTTCTTTGCCTATTCCTTTACTATACTCTGCCTCTACTGGGATCAGTGGTATGCAGTTAGCCATGCCCAAATGAAAAATATAAATGTGTGTGTGTGTATATATATATATATATATAAACTCACATTCTATACAATTCATGCATGTATATATACATATATCATATACCTTAGGAAGTGAAAAGGAAACCACAGTTTACTTCAGTAAGGCACACATCTTCAATCAAAATTACTCCAACTGCATTTAGTTCTGGAAATATGTGGCCTTTGAGCAATCTTTTTCCATTTACTCCATGGAGTCACAGTAAACCCTACTCTTAAAGGATGTCTGATATCGTCTGCTGCATTTTCATTAGTATATTTGAAAACTACTTATAKATCTAAACAAAAGGTGTATATATATGTATATATATATGCCCAGATGTTTCCTCGTGCTCCTCTGTAAACAATTAAAATAATTAATAATGTAATGACCATAAAGCCAGACAAGTATTTGGTTTCAATACTCACTCAGTCTAGGCATGTTCTGCCTCTGAGGACAGTTTTTTGTGGTTGATTTACTTACATTATCCAAATTAAAAGGTATGCAGACTCCAATTCAGTGAATTTAAGAATCTTTCCAAAAGCATCTTGTTCTTTTTACTAAATCTGTTGTACACATGTTCTTGAGTGCACAAGACAATTCCACTGAACTTGGTTCAGCCAAAATTACCACTCCTTTTTTTTTTTTTCTGTATAGTTTTTATTATAGTCATAGCCAATGGAGAAGTAGATGTGACTAGCCAGTGACTGTTGCTCAATGACTGAACAAAACCAATTTATTTTTTAAGCTCAAGGTACCATTCCAATGGGGACACTGGGAGTCCCTTTTCATGTGAGCATTTGTCATTACAGCAAACRGTTGCAGAGTCAAAAAAGAAGGATGGGTTTTTCTGAAACACCAGTTCCCCATAACTAAGGAGCTGAATTTCAGGCTGCAATTGACAGAAGATGCCACACCTTGCAGTGTGCAGGCCTGTGGGACACCCCAAACCACACACCCTCCTTGGACCCTGGGAATTCAAACACAGGCTTTTGCCCATAACACAGAAAGTTAAACTGTCTACCCCTCACCCCAAAAGCTGCATTACCACCTGCGGAGGAACAATGATGGCCACTTTTGTTTGCTTTTCTTGGAAAGAAGACTCTCCAGGTTGTTCACAGCCTAAGAGAGACTTCAGTTGTGAAGCCAAAGGCACAGGAATTCACAAGCAGAGACTTAAGAATTTCAAGAGCACAGAATTTAACTAAAAGGAAATGCTAAGAACAAAAATCATAAACCAGACCCAAATCTCTCTAGGTCTGGGCCTCAGTTTTAATTAAAAGGTGAAGGCTGAATTTAAAATCCAATATTCTCCTGATCTGCTGGTCTCTTTATGGGCTAATCTAATGTCCTTTTTGCTATAAAACCAATACAGGGTCTTYGCATTACATAATTCTTGTTCTAGTCTCTGTCTGCACCACCCATCTTCTCTTTTACAAGCAGGACTGAAGATAACACAAGTGAGACTGTATTTATTACAAAATAACCAAAATTTAACGCTGTCAAACTGGGTCTCAATGGGAGGAAGCATTAATCCAAATGCTAAGGACAGAAAGCAATGGATATACTTTTTGCATTTTTCCTTTGTAGCTTTATGGAACAGAGAAAAAAGAGTAAGTTAGGGCTGTCAGGAAGGCACATCCCTCTTCTCCTCTGTATTCTGTCAAGCACAACCTCCCTGGCTTATGAGATAATTTCATGYGTGTCTGTCTCCTTGGAGGAAAAAATGTTGTGTCTGCTACTGACGTTGGACAATGGCATGCTGACATTTAAATTATTCAATAACTTAAGATATTAAGAAGCCTTTTTAACAGATGTTTTGGTACATTACTGTGCAAAGATTGAGGACATATAGAACTGCCCCAAGGTGCTAAATTTCAGCTTTGGAGAAGTTATTTCCTTGCACAGAGWAAGAGAATACATATAAAGAATCCAAAAATTAAACATCTTTCTAGGGTGCAGAAACACGCTTGTGTTAACCCTAATAGTTGCTTCAGTCTGGTCTAGTCTGGAAAAACTGGTGCAAAGAGGCTAGGTAAACATAAAAAGAGCTCTGTACATTAATTTTCTCATTGGTCCATAGTGATTTTTCTAAAACACAATCTCAGRAAAACTAATTTCAAATACTTTCACATATTTTTCTATCTAATGGCTATGCTACTTTAAATTTTACCATTCACTTCTGGCTATGAGATTCCTAAAGTTTTACTGTGAGCTTTCAGATTTTGTTCTCTCTTTATTTTTGTGCCATTTAAGTCTGTTCCAACACAAGTGTCACCTGTACAAAGTTATGAGGCTTCTTGAATTTGCAAATCTTCATATCTTTCATTTAAAGGATAATTAGGACACTTGCATTACTCAGGTAGTGGTATTTGGCAAAACAGCATAATAAAGGTTTTGCACACTATAAAACCCATGACAAACAAATCAGTGAAAAATACAATACTTAAGTCTCCCAAAGGTAAAATGCAAATGCCTGTAGAATTTCTAACATTAGCATCGGAAGACAGTTAAAAGTAAACAACCATAAGAGTAATTTCCTTGGAACACTAAACAAAGAACTTTACTCCAAAAAGTAAAAACTGTTCCGTRTCCCTAAAGCTACTGTACTTCACCCACATGCATTCGCTTGCCCCATTTCTGCATGGACTCTTTTCTCAGCTCAGTAACAAAGCAGATTTCAGTGAACATTCCTCCACTTTGGAAGAAATATCCTCATGTATATTCCACATATGGATATGGAAATATGGCACAGGAGAAGGAGTCAAAGCCCTGACTGTGCTCTGGGGTTTGCCTTGCACTTCCCAATATAAATGCTTAGCGACTCTCCTCATATTTAATGTTGAGTTCAACAAAATGTCAAATGCAAAGGACTTGCATATGGAGTTGGCATGATCTGCTGCTTSTCACTTCACGACAGAAATACTGTGCACAACATAATACTGTGCTGACCATTACTTCCAYGTGGATGTGACCACAGTGTGTCCTTAGGGGACTGAACCAGTGTGTGCACATTCTGTATTGATATACACAGAAATACAGATGTGTAAGTAACTCTCTAAGTATGTACATGTATGTATATGTAGACATGCATAAGCAGGGCTGTTATGACAGGGCATGGGATAATGATTTTAAGCTTATAAGAGAGTAGATTTAGACTAGGTATAAGGAAGAAATTTTTAAYGAGGAAGGTGGTGAAAATTGGCACAGGTTGGCCAGAGAAGTGGAAATGCCCCATCTCTGGAAACATTCACAGTCAGGTTGGACCTGAAGGCAGGACAGGACCCTCACCCAGGGAACACCATCCAAGAGACTCCTCAGCACCCACCCACACGCTCCCCCCTTGCTGGTGGAGCTCAGCACCTCGGGCCCAYGGACACTCCGAGCAGGGCAGGAAAGGCACAATGGTGCTCACCTGTCTGGAGTTCGCCTCTTCCCGTTTTCGTTCACATCGAGAAGCAGCTCTGAGGAGTCAACAGGTGAGGTGGTGCTGGCATCCAGAAGCAGCTGTTCGTGCTGGGCGAGGTACTGGGCTGGGTTCTGCTTGGCTAGCCTTGCACAGTGCAGCAGCTCCCGCTGCAGCAGGGGCAGATTGGCCTGCAAGAGCAGAGCACGCATTAACAGGGCAGCTTGCAAGCCGTTTCAGCAGAGATGAAGAAGAAAAATCAGAAATTAGAGGAAAGCCTGCTCTGAGTTGAAACTGTTGAACTGTTGAAACTGTTCAGCTCTGAGTTGAACCTTCATCCCCAGCTAGGTTTGTTGTGGTTAGCTGCCTGAAAGCAGGCAGCCGCCAAAAGCGGTTGTAGCTGTACTAAGTATGCATGGAAGGCTGGGAGTTTACTGAAAATGTAAAAGAAAATGGTAAGTGCTGTGAGAAAATCAGGTCTGAGTTCCACATCTTTAAAGAGGGAAAAAGCACTGTCTTGGCTGACTTCTGCTTTCTTACTATCCAAAACCCGATCTCCTATGGAGTAGCTGTTTTCAACAAGTGACAATCCTTCCTSAAGATTTGTTTCCCATTCAGACTGMAGCTAGTACTCAGAAATTGTCTGAAACTGGGAGATCTGCAGGTCTATAAGCTCTTTCAGTCACCATCCTTCAAGGGCCTTGGGGACAACAGGATTGAGAATAGGATTGCCCTCAGCTTTCCCATTACACTTGCAGCTACACATTAAGATAAAGATTACAACAAAATCTCACGTTCCAGAGCTTCGGTTAATCACCCGGAGGGCTACAATCCTCCTCCTAGCCAGATGTAGCTTGAAGGATTTCTAACTGTTCTCTCATGGCCCCASTGGGACGTGGGTCATGGGCTGGAGATTACCAGGACTCAGACAAAGAGAACTAAAAATGCTCATTGATCCCTGGGCAGCACGTTTTGCCCATCTACTGGGGTCATACTTAGTCATAGTTTTTGTCAGAACAGGTAGAATCTGTATGTCCTTTCCCTCTGCAAAGACAGTAACACATCTTGGGAAACATCTTCYTTTCTTTGCAGCACGTGCCAACATCAGTACTAAGATAGGCCACTCATTTTTTACCTGATTATTTATTAGCAAAGTGATGTGCCCTGACCTCTCTTGTTCCATGGCTACCACACAATGATTTTGCACTTCAGAATTTCCAAGTATTGCACTAAATTTCATAACCTTTAGTAACTAAAGATAAGACAAAGAACTTCAATAGTTTCCTTTGTTTTTAAATTAACTCCCACTTAAAAAAAATCCCAAACAAACGAAAACAAAAAAAAAAAAACCCAGTTCTTTTTTAAACAGGAAAATACTGCTTAAGTCAAAAAAGTTCCGAAAGTAATGTGCAGGGAACAAAATAAAAAGCAGATGTTCTGGAAAGTTTTGAGTACAGGATCTTGGTAAATTACATTAGTTAGCATTATAACAATGGCAAATGCTCCAGCACCTGTTGCTGTACCATAAGAGCAGAACTACTGTGCCACAAAAAATGCCAGAATAGAGTCAGTACATGAGAAACCTTTCACAATGAAGAAAAAACTAGAAATTGCTATCAGTTATTCATCTTAGGATGGAAAAACGGTTGTGGAATATGGAAATCTTTTCAGACCTACAGAGAAGTATTTTGTGAAAGAACCAAATGTATATTTTCATATGGTTATCACAGAGAGAGAGAGAGAGAGAGAGAGAGAGAGAGACTGACTGTGTCATGAGCAAGGTTTTTCACTTGTTTTAATTTCACTGTTCTGTTAAAAAGCTCACACAGAATACAAGTCAAGAAACCGAATTATCTGAACTGCCCCACATGGTAGAAAATGGTTGGAGAAGTTCACATACAYTTACAAATAAATATCTGGAAGAACTAAAAGAATCAGATCTAGTATTTGAATAGCGGTACACACTTTCAAGATCTATCATCATATCTCAGCATGCCTGTGAAGTAGAAATGTGGAGGCCCTACTTAGCAGGTGACTAATGAAGGGAGAAACAACACATTTGTGTTCCTTATCCACTATCACAAACAAAAAGGACACATTTAATACATGGGAACTCCCAGAGACAACCAAATTTTGAATTGTTCAGCAAAAACCTGATTTATTTTACTTGTTTTCCTTCTCCTAAAGAAATGTTCATTCTTGCTCTTTACACATAAACATGACCATTTGCAGATAAATTTACCTAAATAGATTGAACAGATTTTCTTTGCACAGAACAAGCATGTGCAACTTTTAATATGTGTATTAAACATGGATACATTCAGTTTCTTAACTTTTGTATAAGTTATTATAGAAAACTATGATTTACATGCCTTATAATTTGGGTTTGTAAAAGCATAAAGTAATATTTTGAAAAGTACTTAAAGTCAAGAAAAGCAGTATTTAAAAATTTATAGTTCAGCTCAAGTACTTTCAATCTGCTCAAGACATTATTCTAAACAATCTTGATCAAACCATATATTAATAAATAATTAGATATTGGGAGAAAACTAATCAGGAGCTCTCTGTAGGTAGGTCTAGTGTACAGCAGCTTCTGGTCACCATGGCCCTGACACACAAGAAACAGTTTTTTGGGAGATACCAAGAACTACTTTTGAATGCAGAATGAAACAGCAATATTCTCCCTATTGAGAGCAGGGTGAGATGGGGCTCCTAAGGCAATTCAAGCATGCTCATAGAGACTCTGAAACAAAAATGGCCTTGGACACAAAGAGGTTCTGCTCTGACAGCAAAGGCAGTTCCACACACCTGCAGCAGCACATTTGYCCCAGCATTGCTGTAGACAGACTTCTGTACCTGTGCATGTGAGAGATACAAACCAGTTCTCAACCATGAAAGCACTGAAAGCAAACAAACATGACATTACTGGCTTGCACTACCCTAAAATGTTGSATTTCAATGTGTGAAACATGCTCCCACTCTAGTTTTGGATTGGACCTTATATCCTTCAAGATTTAGGCAGTATCTTAGCCTCCTCCATCAGCAACAGATATGTGTCAGTATTATAATTTAAATTGAAAAGGCTTCATTAGAACACAGTACAAAATTAGGCTTTGATGTTTTTATAATTGTGAGTTTAAATAAATTATTACAGATGTATTAAAAATAAAGGTTTAAATTAAGAAAACTGCATTCAGAGAGCCTGAGTAACTAAAAATTATCAAATCGTCTATTTGTACTKATACTTAAAACAAATATGCACAGCACATCTATTGAAAAACAGTGTTGCCAGTACTGAACATGTACACCATGTACCACTTAAATTTAATAGATTAAATGCTGCTTGATATTAATATAGGAAATATGCACAAAAAAAGCCAGGGAAGGTTTCTGCAGTTGAATCATCTTATCTTTCTCTGAACCAGAATTGTTAGAAAGATAAGCAATTCTATGACTATTTATTATCTGTAATAGATCAGCGCTCCCTGGCGTGAGGCACTGCTCAAACACATGGTGAAGAGTAGCTTCTTTCCCAGAATTTTTATTACAGCAACACAAATATTGGCTTCTGACTGCAACGTAGCGTTTGGTAGACCTAGCAATCTGTAGTGGATCTAGACCAGACAGGATATACACTGTGTGAAAGGTTTCAAGAAGGTTTGAGTGACTTGCCTAGAATCAGGTAACAGAGAGAGGCAAAGCTGGGAATAGAAAATAAGTCTGGCKTCAGGACAAGTCTTTAGGACAGAAGGGAGTGCAGGGCCCAAGAGTCTCTCTCTTGCTGTGGAGCATGGCCAGAGCCTAACTCTGGTCCTGGGAAGTGATATTGCAATGCTAGCACAGTCTTGAAGAC